AACTGGCCTACCACGGCTACCAGTAGTACCATCAACCGATTTTGGTACCATCAGTGTCACGACTCGTGCCATGTCTCGCCGCACAGCCAACAAAGCCAACCAATAAGATATTGACAACCATAACGCCTGACATATTTCTGCCAAGATCACGTCATTTGCCTTAATATTCATGATTCATTCATTCTATTAGTTATACTTTCTCCTATCTTCTCTAGATACTGCTGTTCTAGTCTAGATTCCGTGTATTCAGCAGTAGTGGAGACGTAATTCAATCACCGTTTTTAAATTTCAAAACCTAGTATTGATATCCCCCATACAAAATCAGGGGCAATAGACAGTACGTCACCGAGTTCGGTACCATCACCGAGTTGGAACATTTCAAAACTCGTAGCGATATCCTACCCCGTCTTAGCAGGCGGCGAGTGTATTTCCCGAAATACACTCAGACTCTGGAAACAATTTCAGCAATGGTTGGGATTTTTGACATACATGTTCTAGTACTTTGCTTTGTTCGCTTCGTCTTCTTTGGCAGACCTCCATCGCCGCACTTTTCTTGCCGATTTTGATACTGCTCGCCCACCGAGTCTCGTCGTTGTCGTCCCAAAATCAGCAGTTTTCGTCCCATCACCAATAGTCGTCCCAATCGCCGAGTCTCGTCTCCCATCACCAATAGTCGGCCCATCACAAATAGTCGTCCCAATCACCGAGTCTCGTCCCATCACCAATTGTCGTCCCAACCGCCGATTCTCGTCCCAATACGAGTTGCAAATTTCAAAACTAGTAGGAAGAGTTTCTCCCCCTGATCACGTATTCACAAAACCTTGCTATAGCACAGATCCATTTCGCTCCATCCGCCAATTGTCGCCCCACATCGATTCTAGTCCCAATCATCGATTCTCGTCCTATCACCGAGTTGGAAAATTTCAAGACAGTAGGAAGATCCTTCCCGTTGTAGCAGGCGGCGATTGTATTTCCCCGAAATGTATAGGTAATAATTTCAATTTTTTTTGGGAATTTGGAAATGCGTGTTCGAGTTCTTTGCTTTGTTCGCTTCGTCTTCTTTTGCTGCGTATCCATTGCCGCAATCACCTCCTTTGTCCCCAATCGCCGTGTGGCTGATTTTTGGTACCATCACCGATTTTTGGGACGAACCATTAGAGTCATGGATCGGATTCTTCCTCGATTGAAATCAGTCGAACAAGTCTACTTGGAGTCAATCCCAGGATTTATGGACGAATCCAAGTTTTCGTGCCATTCGCACCAAGCCTTACTGTTCCCAATCAATCAATCTTGGTGATACAAGCTTCCCGCTTTGTACGACCTTGGCGATATCGAGACGGTGACGTGTCCATCTCGAGAGCTACTTGACGACTGGTACGGTGGGTTCCAAATAATGGAGTCGTTGCTGATTCGTTCCCTGATTGGTTTTGTAACTCTGAAACTACGCGACAAACCTCAACAACCTCCAAACTCAACCCCACGTTTTGACGTGTCTCATCACGATGAGCACTGAAAAGTGAGACTGCTACCATACTGCGGTGGAATTCATGAAAATTCGAGAAACCGGCGGAATTGGGAGAACATTTGAGAATTTGAAATATTTTCGAGTCTCAGTTCGTTCACTCGCTCGCTTGCTTTCAAAGTGAGTTTCTTTCACTATTACGGCGATCGAGGCTTCCAGGTACATTCGTGAGCTAGGTACCAAACAGTCTCGTCCAGCCTCGTCGTCAAAACTTACTCGCCTCCGACCTGAAAATGCACGAAAGATCAAGTGTTTATCCAAACGTTCGTACGCTTTGTGTTTTACTATTTTTTCAGCCAAGTTTATATAGGAGAAAGAAGCAACTTTTCCAATCATGCACCGTAAATCCATTGTCTAGTATGGTCGATAGCGTTCCGGGGCTTTACGAGTTCGAAGAGGTTTCGTACTCATGGACCGCCGAGGGTGCTTAAAATTCTCAAGCCACATGATCGTATCGTCCTGACTGTATGCACACTTGGCAAAGTTGACGGCATGAAGAGCTACCTGAAGATTATCTCTGGTATACAAGCCACCTCTCGATCCAGGAACGATCCGATCAAACGACAGACTTAGTGGTTGCTTCGATTCCCACGACCCTTTCACCCCTGACAATCTACAAGTATCCTCCGCCTGGTACCACATCTTATACATCTCGTCCTGTGAGACTACCGTAGGAGCGCCACGGACACCACGTTTTCGACATTCGGCACGTTGTGTGGCAATCATATTCTGTCGGATGGCAGCCAAGCGGTTGTTTATCGCCGGTGGCGGTTTAATGGATTTATCGGGAAGTGGGCGAAGAGGTGCTACCACTTCGGCGTTTCGGATGGCATCGCGTATAATTGTCTGGTTGGCGAGATCCCAATCGTTATACAGCCTTTGGCAGCTTGATTTCCATAGTCAGTTATGGGCGGTGACGATGAAAAAACTCGACAAGGCCTACCCCAAACAAAAGACTTTCAAATTCGCGGCGGAGTATCCTTGGGACACATCAGGCCTTTGAGGAGACGCTTGGAAGAGACCAGAATTTGACAATTCGATCACGGCGTGATGGCACTCTTCACATCTTTTCTGCTTGGCGATCAGCGGCAACCAATACAAGCAAGCTTGCTCTTTCGTCAAGGTATGACCTCGACTTTTGGAATTTCGCACCATATTTTTGACGACTCCATTGACGTTGAAGAACGATGAATCCGTGCTACAACGAAGCTTGCGCTAAACAAAAAGGATGCGATGAGTTTTCCTTAAAAAACTACGTGATAATCACACAAACCGTTTTAACAGCCTTCCAGCTATTGGATTGCGACAAGATCCGAAGCGCCTCCTTTGGAGATGCCGCCTTTCTGGCCGAGGCTACAATACTTCGATGTCGTTTCAGTTGCTACACAGAAAATGTTAACGAAGGCACGACAGATGTGAACTCAGGTTACGTTTACCTGCTGATCGGATCTCCATTGGACTGACTGGCCCATGATCTTTTCATACTGTTTCGTTGAGCGGGCGTTTGAGGCCAGAGCCAGGAGACTTTTATGTTTCGCAACTCTCTGCATCGAAATTTTGCAATACCGTCAGACACTTTCTAAATGGAGTCCAATGGTTTCAAATCCCTTACCCGTTGAGTGCTTCTCCACAGCGGAGATTGAGCCATAATCGTACGAGCTCCCACATCTGAGCGAGCCCCAGTTGCCTGAGCTAGAAGCGAACGATGGCGAGCGGATTGCTAGCATGGTGTCGATAATTCAGTCAAATCCACGAGAAAACAAACACTACTGTAGTAGCACACCCGTTGCTTTGCTCGAAAGACGGGCAATTGTGACATGATGGTTTCGTACTGGTCACTCGGAGCTCGTTTGGCTTGACTAGTGACTGCCAGGTACGTTGGCAGTTCTTGCGAAATCCATTTCTGATGTCTCACTGTCTTGCTACCAAAGACGCAACGAGCTCGGTTTGGCACCAATTTATGGCCTCGTTTTGTAACCACAAGTTGGCAATTCCAGGGAAGCCGGCGACAATCAGGGACATCACAAGGACAAGAAGTATCTTCCACGTTGAAAGGATAGTGCGAGATGATGGTCTCTGTTAGATTCCTAGCATTGGTAGCGTAGCTTTTGCGATACTCGGCCGGCACCTCTGGATCGTCCTTGAGCAGACCGTACAATTCCACAATCTGATGGAAGAGATACGTTAGCCAGCTGGGAGCTTTAAAGCACCAAACTTGCTCGAGTCATTACCCGACGACGGTCCAGGACAGTTTGTGTGGTGGGATCTCGTAACCGTCCCCAGCAAAGTGACTGAAGAAAGCAAAGCAAACGTGAGTGCTGATATGAGAGGGCTCATAGCTATTGTACCTTGAGTTCTTCCCACGGTGGTAATGGATCTGCCTTGCTTGTTGCTGACGTGGAGCGTCTGGGCTCTCTATCAAAGTCCACGGTTTCCGTTTCACTGTCTGATTCAGAGGATTCAGAGGCCGTATCGGATGGGCTATAATCTGAACCGTCAGAGTTCTCTATTGCCTGTGACGTCTGACCCCTCATGCTCTAGATGTTTCGAGATATAAGTGTAAACCGTTTGGTTGAAAGTCTTGAATTCAAACAGTCACTGAAGCACAGAAGTGACGGGTCAGAACGCACACAAGGATGATTACACGCCCACGATGTAGGCACATTCTATAGTAAAAGGGATGTGTTGATGACGAGCCAGTTGATTTGTCGTGGACCGTCGTCACTCTTTCAATTAGGCAAGAAAATAAGACCACCCAAAGCAGCACTGGCCCAGCCTCCGTCATCTCTGAAAGTGAAGCCAGGTACAGACGATATAGCATTGTTTCACGTGAGTAGTCCAGAATATTAAATGTCTTTGTTTCTACCGAGAAACAGGGGTCTCACTTTGCTTCCCTTCAGCAGATTGTTCAGCCAGGCAAGGTTCTCCATTAGCATGGCCAACGGAGAGATATTTAGTAGTAGTAAAAAATCTACCAGAGACGGGGCGGTGGAAGGAGTGGTATTGATCCTTTACGGACGATTTGGAAAGTACCCGCATGTGTTGAGCCTGGGAAACGCATCGAGTTCAAGAAACGATCAGGGCAGCAGACTCGGTGCACCTGTTGATCGGCTGAGGCGGTTCCAAATACCACACAACGTTTGGTGAATTCAGCACCAAGTGCGGGACTCAGCGTCAATCCGACTAAAACGTACAAAGCAGTCAAAGAGTTTCGTCGTGGTAAGCACCGTTCTGGAGTGGGTGATAATGACTACTGAATGACTCCGTGACTTTCTTTGATTTCTTTTGGGAGATGGCAGACAATAACCACTCTACGACTGAAATTTGGAGGATGAACTCGAAAAAGGTCGCCCTTCATCAATAAGCTTCTAATGAATCTCATGGTTTTGCTCTTGGTGTGCAAAATCAGAAAGCTCAATTTAATGATGCAAATCGAATCGTATCGGTATAAAAGATCTTGGAGACCCGAATTTAATCACAATACCGTTTTCTGATTCTCTTAGGTGACCGTTGAAGAGTAGATGTCCTTTGATTAGAACTTTCAAGTATTTCACGTTTTTTGATTAATGACAAACCAGGAAGGAGACTTTGATTCGTTGTCGTAGAAAGTAGATCCAAGCAGATCGCCTTGTGAGCCACATGAAATGCTAGTTCTCCTCAACTACTAACGCGACCTTCCAGAAAGGACTTCAATCGCAAAACATTTAGATCTAAAAATAATGGGAAACGTATTTGACTCCAGAGACGCTTTCGACGAGGCACTGTACAAAGCGTCCTCATTTCTCGGTGACACCGTCTACACGGACGAGCAAGTGTTTTGGAATCCGGAACACGCATCGAAACGAGACGATCAATACCAATCCTTGATGATTTGGGAAGGAGCTACCATGGACCTGCCCGAAGAGGTTTTGGCGTTCAAAGAACTCCTTTACCAAGGCCTTCATCTGGAACATCCTATCCGCTGGGTGGGTATTCTTACTACTTTCAAGACTCCTGGCGTGCCTGGTACGGGTGGGCGAATGGACGCAGCATTTCTGGTACATCAAGCTGATATCGAAAAGCTTTATCGTGACATTGACGTGGGATTTCGCTGGTGGTCAAACGTCACTGGTAATGGAGGACGACGATTGTATCCCCTCAAGTTTCGACGAGACTATCCTGATGGTTGATACCACGTTTGGAAGGAAAGAAACCAGTCCCAATGTCAGCTGTGGCAATTGGCATGGATGGAGCAAACGTGAATTGAGTACAGCAAAGGTTACTCTGTGTTTCCGGATGATGCTGACTTGAACGGTCTTGTCTATCGTGCCGTCGATGGCGGAATTGCGCACGTGGCCGAATTGTTCTACTTCTCGCCAAGTCTCGTTTCAACTACATCCCTTTAAAAGGCTGGTTTGAATTTAAAGATCACCGTTGGAGAAAATGTCTGCAAGGAGTTGATATCTACTTTCCCGAGCTGATAGTTAACAAGCTCCAGACGATGAAACGGTTTTATCAGGATCACGTTCCTGACGGCGACTTGAAAAACAAGCAACTCAAGCAAATTATCTCTACAATCAAGAAAGTTGGTAACAAGGACATACCGCACTATACAAAGCACAGCAGTGGAATATTCTATAGTTCCAACCCGGATTTTGATAGAAAGCTAGATGAATCACATGATCTGTTGGGAGTTGACAATGGTGTATACGATTTCAAAACAAGGACCTTTCGCGCAGGTCGACCTGACGACTTTATCTCAAAAAGTGTGGGGTATCCATATATCGAGGAAGGGACCGAGGAACATGAAAAGAAGGTTATGGACCTATTTCGCGACATCCAACCCGAGCCAAAGGAATGCCACTACCTTCTGCTATTTCTGTCGCTGATGGTTCATGGTTCAAATCCCGAAGAGATATTTACCGTTTTCACGGGCACGACGCGGAACGGCAAGTCTCTTTTGTCGGATTTGATTATACTCACCCTGGGGGATTACTACGCGACTGTTTCTAGCACATTGCTTACAGGAGAGCAGCCTGCAAGTTCATCGCCGCAAGCAGATATCGTTGCTCTCAAGGGGTGCAGAGTGGTTGTTGCATCTGAACCTGAAAAGGGACGTGCCATTAACTCGGGATTTATGAAGTGGATTACTGGTAATGACGAAGTGGTATGTCGTCCATTGAATAGCAATACTATCATTCGATACAATCCTCAGTTCAAAGTGGTTATGTTGTGCAACAAGATTCCCACTATGGATTCCAACGATGAAGCAGTCTGGGCTCGCAGTCGTATAGTCGAATTTCCTACCAGATTTGTCGATCAACCAATTCAATCTCACGAACGTCAGATCAATAAAACCCTTAAAGTTGATATCAAAAGCATCGAGTGGCGTCAGGCATTCATCAAAATACTGATCAAATATCACGAAGAGTATCCAAAAGAGGGTCTTGTTGCAACCGAGAAAGTTCTCCAAAAGACGGCCGAATATAAGGAAAAGTCTAGCATTGTTCTGCAGTTTGTAAACGAGGAGATTGAGGATGCAGTCAAGGGTCAAAACTTAACATACGTGTCAATCTACCAACGGTTTTGTGACTGGCATTCGATTCATGATGGAGGACGATGTCCTGACTCAAAGTTTGTCAAGGATGAACTGGCCTCATTAGGATGGGATCTCAAGAAAGTCAAAGTTAACCTTTCGAGCCTAGTCGGCATTGCAGGTAAGAAATACAAGAATGTTTAAAGTTTCCAACTCACTGCAAAAGTTGCCAGAAAGTTTCCATAGATTTTCTTGGTAAAGGTAGAGGAGAAGGAGTATTTATTATTAAGATTTGAAAAGTTTCCAAAGTTGCCACTTTTTTCAAATGAGGTTCTTAGAAAGAATACAAGTCTTCCAAAACAAGAGACACCGACAAGATTAGTTTTACTATCTGTGAAATGACCAAGGGCTGTAAAAAAAGTGGCAACTTTGGAAACCATCTCGGTTTTTGGCAGGTTTAACACCTCAAATCAGTCTAATTTCTGCCAGAGACGAGTGAGAAGTGGCTGGCAACTTTCTCGGAAACTTTTATGGCAACTAGCATTCTTCATCTTTGTTTCATTTTGTTACTGGCCATTTTCAATGCTGATCCCTTTAAGTAGTCAAACGATCGTTAGCGTCTAGTATGAAGCTAACGACCAGTACCGTGCTAGCTTTTTTTTTGTTACCTCAATCTCGATGGGAACTCCCCATAGAAGCACTGAGACGAAGGGGCTTATCTCGTACTTTGCGCCCCTGCTGGCATAGGCCAAGGTCTTTGGGACATAACGGACAAAGCTTTGGTAAAGGTATTGATTTCCTTTGTTGACATATCAACTATGATACTGTATGCTTTTTGAGCTTACTCAACCTTGACGATACATTTATTAGTGTTTTAAAGCCTGTGATTCTGTTCATTGAGGATCACAAAGTAGATGTAACACGAGGACCGTGCCATCTGATTTGGACTAGTTTCCCAACTTTGTGCCAAGGCCAACTTTGCACCTCTCAACGACTATCAGGAGATACTTTCTTTTTACTGTGACGGTGACTCTGTACAGTGCACGTAGTTTCGTCGCTTTCCGCCTCAAACCGGAACATTTGCATGTTTCAAAAAATTGAAACGGGAACATTTTGTTTGGGAGCAGTATCAGACACTGTTGATCTTGCTTTCACGTTTTGTCGATGGAGTTTGTTGCTCAAGATACAGAAAACAGTCAAGCATCTCTACACCAAAAAAAGCTCTTCAAACGAGGAAAAGAAAGGAAAAAGTTGAAGGCATTTTGTGGATCCATCTTTGAAATGGACGTTCTGGGAGAGAAATGCCTCGTTTTTTTTACCCAACTGAATTGAGGACGCCTGGTTTTGTCAGCAATGGGGACTGGTCTTACTTTTTTCAGAATATCGTTGAAGGAAGGATTGTCCGAACGTTTGAAAAATGATCAAATAAAGACGACGGGCTCCAAACAGCCTTGGTACGCCCCAAAAAAGCCGATGACTAAGTTTCACATGAACTCAAATTGCTTTTACACATTGAAACTAGTTCAAGATTTTTCTGAACGTTCATGAACGACGAGACGGTTGCCATATTTAAATATTGCGTGAGTCTTGGTTTTGATTTTGATCACACCGATGTTTTGTAAGATTTGACAGAGTTCATTATTCAGAAATGCACGTCGGTCTTTTATTTTCCGTAGACTTTTCACGGTGGCTCTAATGTCCTCCGTCAAACCCACAAACTCTTGTGTATATTTTTCCAGATCAACTATATCCATCAACTTTCCATAAACGATACAAAAAAAATGGTGTAACTTCCGAACTTGTGCAATCCCTCGTTTTCATTTAATTTCAGAACATTCCAGTCTCTTCCGTTAGAGGTTTATACTGGTATATATGGCGTACAAGGCCAAAAAGACGAACTCAATGTTTTAAATTGCTGAAAGTTTCGTAATCATTGGAACTCGGATGCTTTTGTGATAAAACATCGAAGTATATATACGCACAAATAACAAGACTGTTTGGATTTCATCGGGATTTGATCTCTCGTGTATTTCAAACTTGAGATGATATTTTTTGGACTGCGCCTTCTTGCCAAGCGTCACACCATCGGCACCGATACCGATTTTGGCACCAATCATCAACATCGGCACCAAATACCGATTTTGGCACCAATACCAGTGTAACGTGGGTACACGATATCGAAAGTGACTCGGAAAAAAAATGAATTTGGGAAATTTTCGATTCGAGAAAAAAAACCCCCTGTTTGTGTTTTAGTTGTTTGCTTCGTTCGCTTCATCTCCGCTATCGATATTCCCTGAGTTGTTTTATTACAGTTTCAAATGGTACCTGGGAGATACAATTCCATCGAAATACAAGTACAAGTGACACATGGGAGATACAACTCCATCCTTTGCAGACCAGTCCCCGAATCCAACTACGCTCTAGTCACACTACGTTTATATCCTCAAAGTAGAATTTTCCCTTACAATCCAAGTCGCTTTTGTATCTGGAACCAGTTCGTTCATCGACTCCCTACCATTAACAGGCTGGTCTCGTTTGTATCACAAGATGTAGTACACATTTGGTGAGTCTCATTCGAGAGACATCAAGAAAAGTACATCTATAGTACGTACAGATGTGGTGGCGGTGAGTACATAGCATCAACCGCTGAAATTTTTGTCGCTCATCCATGAATTTTCGACCGTCATGGCTGACCAAAATGAGGTTCATAATTTTTTTTTCTGGTCATCACATTAAAAGCGACATGGGAGTTTACTTTGAAAATAAGACACTGAAAGAGTTCGTGTTCATTGGAGACTTGAATGCCGGAGCAACCGTGACGTGGCCTTTCCGCGACCGAGGATGGAATCTCAACGATCATGTTATTGCTGTCGACCAAGGCAGAGACGAATTCCGTGAGTTGGTTCCTGTTCCCGAGAAGGAATCGGGCAAAAGCAAACGGTCTAGCAGAAGACGGTCTGTCTCACGGAGACGCAGGCCTAGTGTCGTCAGTATGGCTACTGATTCCGGACCAACGGCGGCGGGAGGGCACTTTTACGACTTTTACTAGTTCCTACATATCACTTTGACTGCTCTCAGATTCACTGGAATCGTACGTCCAATGGATACGTAGCATTGCCCTTCGTTTGGAGGTTTTCAGCGAGGGAATATGAATCGACGCATCGAGGCCGAACGCATCGAAAAAGGCTTTCCAAGCATCACTAGTAGATTGTTGTACGTCAATTTCAATAAAGTCACGATCCCGATCGAGAGCTTCTACCAGGGCTTCTCCTACAGTCCTTGCCTCGATGACCATCTGTTCAACTAGCGTCTTTTGATGGATTTCAAGATTCAGGCGATACGTGGGTCGTATAACGCATGGTACTTCGAGACGGATTTTAGCACCGAAAATCTCAAACAAGCGACTTGTGGCGCTCGCCTCATTAGAATTATGAGCCCATACTTTTACAGTGAGATTGTTCACATTACTTTGCAACGCATTTGCAGCTTTTTGACTATAGTAAGATAGCGCAACGCCCAGGTTTTGGAGGTCATCTGTGTACTCAGACATTCAGTTTTTGTTCTTGATACTTGTCACTTAAAAAAAAATTAACGATTTAATGTCTGTTCTGGTGCAATGTCTGTCTGTGAGGTAACTGCCGCCTCGACTGATATCACCATCCGTCATGCCCTCACATTTGCTCTCCCTCGACTATCCGGATGTAAAATACTGTTTAAAGTTGGACGCTGCGACAAGATAGTGAGCCAATGGCTCCGTGACTTCACGACCCGATTGAAAGTTGTATTTACCAACTGTATCGATACCACTGGGTTAAACCAAAACAGTCCAGCTTTGATCCTCGATACTGATATTCTAGTAGCTCTATTCACTGGAGCTACACCATTCTATTGTGTTCACACAAACGATGAATACATGTATTGACACGACATCGCCATGAGTACCACGGCGCTGCAAAACTGTCATCATTCATTCCGACGATATGATTTTTTTTTGTGGGAGCGTTTTGTACAAACGCACCTGTAACTTTGATCGAAAAAAAAACCAAATATCACGTTATAAACATGCCCCAAGGACGTCAAACCGACACTTCTGTGGTACGCTACCATTACACGGCTTTTGTCAAAGATGGTCCGTCTTACCGACGCATGGAACGAGATTTTGATCTACCTCGCCCAAGTCATAAACGAAGAGAAAAGACTCAAGTTAAAGCCACTATTGCTCACATATTAGAAGCAGAGGGGATTCGCAAAATTAAGGGTGCCAAAGTGGAGATACCGGTATCAGCGACGCGCTCTAGACCACGACCAGATATTGGCAAACACGTTGATACCGAGTACTTGACATTTTCTCGCAGATTCCCTCACCAAGACCTACATGAATATATCGTAACGACAATTGACAGCATCACCTATCGTGTTCATTTGCCACCCAAAGCCACTCGTAAAGCCATTTTGGATCAAGTCAATGCCTCTTTTCAAGTCACCGTTTCACGTGCTTCAAACACCACTCATACGCACGACAACACTCTACGCATCGCCTTTGAAACCGAGAAACTGGCCAAACAGGCTTACCAAGCCCTTCAAGGAGAAATGGTAGAGGAGACCTGGAAACAAGCGCTGCATCGAATGTACCGCGATGGACACACCCAAAGCGTCCCACTAGGAGATGTAGAGGCCTTCAAGACTGCGGTGAGCAATCACCTCACTGACCATCGAACGCCTCGATATAAAATCCAGGTAGTGGTGCACTACATTCTCAGGCACCTTGACACGGATGAAATACGCACGTGGAGCCAAAGCGTTCTTATGGGGGAGACGACGAAGATGATGCTGATCGAGTCTGATCAAGACTTGGCTAAAGCCCTCGCTGATGTGGCGACCTTCACCCAAGAACGTCTTAAAAGCCGCCCACACACCCGATGGAGGTATAACGGAGTCTATGCCTTCACTATGCGTTTTATCGACCTCTGTCAGCCCGTAGGTGACAATGTCATTCAAATCCCTAAATGGATGCTCGACTGCAAATCCATCGTCACCAAAGCCTCGCATGACCAGAGGTGTTTCTTTGATGCAATGGCTCGTTGTTATACAGTAAAATCCAACAGTATCGTATATGATCCTAAAACCAATGACTACTTCAACAAGCACCGAGATCAGTGGGAGAAGCGAGCTAAAAAGTTGTTCAACTACCTTTACCCGAATGACGACATGGACACCTTTCCAGGAATCCTGTTACACCACCTTCCCGCCTTAGAAGCCCACTTCCAATGTCGCATCCATGTGATGGACATTCAACCCACTCCACATGTATTGAATGGTCGATACGTCTACGACACCCAGTATAAAGTCTTTTCGACAGCTAGCTATACTCAAGAGATCTTCCTCCACCTGTTAACCCAATACGACCCTGCTATCTCCGACTGTCGTTACCATTTCTCCTATATTTGCAATATGTCTGTCTTCCAAGTGACGCTACGCTGTCCCAAATGCGACAGTATCCTAAAAGGACAAGATCATTTCGCGGAACATGCCAAAAAGTGCCAAGGACATCGACAAATCATCCGCTTTCTAAAAGACGATGCCAAACATACCGATTATAATCCATGGACACATTCGCTCTTTCACACCCTCGATCGCTACGGCGTGCAGGTTCCCAAGAAATTGCGATATGCTCCCTTTCACATGGCATGGGACTTGGAGACGTACTCACAGAAGCGTCACATGTCAGGGGCTGGCACAGTGTCCTACCAACAAGGCTTGCTGAGTTGGTCGATTGCCTCCGACACGGTAGAAGGCACCATTCAAAACATTCAAAAAGCCCATATGAACGTGGCAGACGTACCTACAGATATCCCGCACGACCAAGTCTCCAGCTATCTCGTCCAGCACATGGTAAAGCAATTGGTCGAATTTCGAACACCTCTAGTGAACGTATTATTCGAACGGTATCTCCCCTACTTGCAAGAATTGTATAGTCAATGGAAGAAAACATCCCGCCAAGCCCGTGGGCGTTACACGATGCTAATACGTCGTTTTTATCAATGGATTGAAGAAATACCACTTTGGGGATTTAACTCGGCTAAGTTTGACGTGAATGTCATTCGCAAAGACTTGTTGACAGAACTGAACAAGTACCCTACCAACAGCAAAGCCCATTCCAAATTCGAACTGGATTGGCTGCAATCTCAAGACGAGTCCCTTCGACAGCGTCTTCAATGGGGATATACTGTCCAAGACCCGCAGGAGCCCGACCATCGCTATCTCAAAGAGGCCGACTTTTACGACGATATAACCCATACACTATATGACATGCTTGGCTGTGAATTTCATGGTTGTGAGCTCTGTGGCAAAAGCCAAGGCATGAATCATTTGAAACGAGACTACGAGGACCTATTAGAAGAACAACGGGACCGACGAGTCTATTTTGAAACTCTTGGATACCACTACATGGAAGTAAACGAATGTGCGTTTTATCAGCTGCATCCACAACGAGCACCCCACTTGAACATGATCAAGACCAACTCGAAATACCGTGTCATTAATACGGGACAATTCAGTTTCAAGGACATTGCCAACTTTGTCACCCCAGGCCAATCTCTAGCCGACTTTTTAAAAGCCTACTCTTCCAAGCCTAACGACCAGAAATTCCACCTTCCTCATAAATACATTGCCACTCTGACCCTCGAAGAACTACGCTCCAACCTAAAGACCACACCGATAACTACCATTGGACGGGATGGCTACTATAATGACCTAAAGTCCCAAGAGATGGATGCCTCCACATTCGACCAAGTCCATAAACACTGTGCTGCCCAAGCCATGATTACCTTATATGAGCTGCTGGTTTATTACAACAACCAAGACGTCAAACCTCTCGTCACCGCCATTCATCGGTATGCCAACCTCTTCCGCACCCGCTTCCAGGTGTGCCTTGCCAAGGACGGCCTCTCCTTAGCCAGCATCTCCAACAAGATTGCGTTTTCCCACATCCCCTCCAATATCCAATTTCACGTGTTTACCAAATCCCACGAAAAAGTATGGCATCAACTCAAGGAGAGTATGGTAGGAGGGTTGTCCTGTACGTATAAACACCAAGCCACCGCGCCCTTGGGCAAACAACCCAGAGGCCCAGAACACGTCATTGTCAGCACGACCAACGAGATCGTCAAAGTCTTGGGCTACGATGCCAACTCGCTCTATCCCTGGGCATTCTCCCAACCACTACCAACGGGAAAGATGCACGTCTACGATTATACCAGTCAATACACACTACAGGACCTACCTCGCCTGCTCGCAGACTCGAATAAATTCTATTTCATGGAAATCACCGCAGAGACCAAACCTGAATGCAGAGAGATGACATCGGAATTCCCCGTCTTTATCATTACCACCCAAGTCGCCCTGAGTTCCCAAGAACTCGAACGAGTCCAACACCAATACCTTGCTCGTCATTCCGTCACCGAAATCCCACCCACCATCTTGAAAGCATGGCAGGACATCCGCATCACCAAGACCATCAACTCGTATCGCGTACAACACCAACTGCTCGTCGGTCCCTACATTCAATTCGTCTTGCCCTACGTTAACGTCACTCACATTGGCACCGTCCTGGAATTCGAGTCTCAAGTAGCGTTTGATACGTTTGTCGACTCCATGGTAGAACTACGCCGCCATTCCGATCAGGCCCAACAACGGCTTCAACAAGGCAACCCACAGGAACAAGACCATCATTATACCCTACTGGGCGACGTGGCCAAACTCTGCTTGAATACCCCTTACGGATTTAGTATTCAAAACAAACAAAAGTACACCACTAGTCAGGTACTCGATACTTCCACGGATCAAATCAAGATCAGCAAGATCTTACAAGGGAATCGATTCCATCTAGACGATCAAGGACGTTACCCCATTCTCCAGCTCTCTGGAAACGACATTGAAATCAAGTACCAACCACGACAGGTCAACGCCGATCTTCCCATTCAACTCGGAATTGCCGTGTACGGTCTATCCAAGGTCCGAATGCTGCAATTCTATTACGACGTGCTATACAAGTACTTGAATCGCTCCCTGTGGCAGCTCTGCTATACCGACACGGACAGCTACTATCTTGCGATCGCCAAACACACCCTCGACGAATGCGTCAAACCCGAGCTCCAAGACCAATTCCAAACCCACGTACGACCAAAGTGGTTTGTTCCGAGTAAAGATCATCCCGACTATCTCCGTTTGTCCCGTCAGCCCGGACTCTTCAAAGTCGAGTTTGAGGGCAACCACTTTATCAGCTTGGCTCCCAAAGTCTATTCCGCCTGTCAACTAGACAAGCAAGGACACGCCGTTACGACGTCACAGTATAAATATAGTTCTAAAGGAGTCGCTAGGCGCCACTTTATCAACTCTCAACGCACCATCGACGATATGCAAATGGCCCTGAATACCGGAGCTCCTGTGACTCGTCCACATACAACCTTTCAGGCAAACCGTGAAGGACTCGTTCGTATCGATCTCCCACAAAAGAAGGCATTTCAATTCGACAATTCCAAACGAATGTATAAGAATGGTATCGATACCGCGCCATTCGAATAGTTTTCGAAATACACGAAATCAACAACATTCACACCCTATCCGACTTTCTATAGCCCTCTTTTTCCTATTCGACGTTCTTTTTCTCTTTTTGATGAAATTTTTTTTTTTTTTTTTTTCATTCCCAACAGATCCAAAAGATCCGACATCCCCGCATTTTCAGGAATCTTTAATACCATCCCGCTTATATCCATCTTCTCCGTTATCCACTCTTTTTCCCTTGTTTTTTCCAAAGACATGCGATTTCTTTGGATGAAATTCCCTTCTTTATCCGATCAACCCAAAGGATCCGATATCTTCACACGCTATGAATGCAGTGCCCTCGTCATCGACCCATCACCGAAATCTCCACTTTCCTTCCTCTGTGTGACAGATACCCTCAACACACTGTTTCCTCTGCGTTACCCTCAACACACTATTCCCTCTGCGTTACCATCAGCACCAGACACATCGTCCCAGGCATTTCCGACATTTCCAATTGTTTCACAAGACACAATCGATCCCTCCCTTTCTATTCGATCCACACGAATTCTTTTGGTCCTTTTTCAACCCATTCCGCACTATCTTTTCGAGTGCGGAATGTTCTACTTTCATGGATTTTCGGTGATGGGGTGGATTTCCCCCACTACCATACTACTA